AAAACATAAAAAGAAACAAATGGAAAGCTTAAAACTAAACAAAAATATCAATAATTGATGTTAACCCATTGTATGTTTTAAATAACTATGCTGAAGAGAGAATTAATGAAGTGGAAAACAGGTCAGAAACCAAATAAAGCACAAGAAAACAAAAGGATGCAAAATATTAGAGAGAGTAGGAGGCCATAGTGGCTTTAAAATATAATCCTAAAATCACTGACACTCTATCCAACAAGAGCGGAGGCATCTGTCCACTGCCTTTGAATCTAGGTGGGCTTGTGATGGCTTTGACTAATAGAATATGGTCGAAAAGATGCTAATTGACCTCCAAGGCTAGATCATAAAATGCCATGCAGCTTCTGCTATTTCTCTTACAATACTTGTTTTCTAGGTGCTCCCTCTGGAATAACTCCCTCCCAGAACCCAACTGCCATGTGTGAGAAGTCCGAGCTCCATGGAGAGGCCATGTGTGGATGATCTGTTTAACAGTCTCAGATGGAGGCTACCCTTCAAGTTATTTCAATCCAGGCACTAAATAAAAAAGCATTCAGATGATTCCATCCCCCATTGAGGCACCAGTCATCATGTAGCAAAGACAAACCATTCCCTTTATGCCCTGTAAAAATTCCCTACCTGTGGAATCCATGAGCACAATAAAATGGTTGTTATTTTATGCCACTAAGTTTGAGATCATTTGTTATTCAGCAACTGAAAACCAGAAGAGAAACTTGGAGATATAGTGATAATTTGGCATATAACTGGCATTAAATCTTCAAAATCCCTTTTGCCAGGTAATGTAACATAATTATGAGAGTATCGCCAGGAGATAGAAGTCCTGGAGGCCATCTTAAAATTCATAGCCTTCTGTCTGCCCCACATACTCTATCACCCATTAATTCCACTTCTAGGTATATACCCAAATGAAACGTGTACATATCTTTACCAAAATACATGCTCTACAATGTTCCTAGCAGCACTGATCATAATAGCTGAAACTTGAAAACTACCCAGTGTCCATCATAATAGTAGTCTGTTTTGTTGTTGGAAATCTACATAGCAGTAAGAATAAAAAATAATATAGATGCCCGGCTGGTGTGGCTCAGTGGATTGAGCATCGTCCCATGGTCTGAGAGGTCCCAGTTTGATTCCTGGTCAGGGCACATGCCCAGGTTTCGGCTTGATCCCCAGTAGGGGTGTGTAGGACATAGTTGATCGATGTTTCTCTCTCACATCAAAGTTTCTATCTCCCTCTCTCTTCCTCTCTCTCTCTAACAATCGATAAAAACATATTTAAAAAGTAATACAGATGAATCTCACAAATATAATGTTGAATAAAAAGAGCCAGATGCAAAGAGTATTTTTTCATTTATATAAAGTACAATTTTTTTTTCAAAAATTGACAGTAGAAGGCAGAATAGTGGTTACCCTTAGAAAAAGGGGACAAGAATGGAAGGAGGAAGAGAGAGGCCATTTGAAGGGCTGATATGTCTTGATCTAGGCACGTTCGATTTGTGAAAATGCATTGAGATGTATATGTATTCCATGTGTGAAGATTTTAAATTACTGCTTCAAGCAAATCTTAGAAAGTCCAAAAGAATCTTCACACAATTACTAAAAATAATAGAATTCATCAAGATTGATGAAAGTAAAATGAATATACAATTGTATTTCTGTATACCAGCAACAAAAAAGTAGAATATATAGTTTCTAAGAATAAATATAAAGAGCCCTGGCCAGTTTGGCTCAACGGTTAGAGCGTTGGCCTGCGGTCCAGAGAGACCTGGGTTCGGTTCCCGCTAAGGGCATGTACTTCGGTTGCAGTTTGTCCCTGGCCCTGATTGGTCGTGCGGGTGGCAGCCACTCGATGTGTCCCTTTCACGTCAATGTTTCTCTCTCTTCCTCTCTCTCCCTCCCACTGTATTTGAACAGAAAATGGAAAAATGCCCTCGGGTGAGGATAAAAAAAAAAAAGAATAAATATAAATAAAATATAAAGTTTTAAACACCATTCACAAAAGAATCAGAAAATGTCAAGCACCTAGAAATTAACAAAAGTCATGCAAATCTCAATAGAAAAACTATAAAACTGAATTAAGAGGAATTAAAGAGGACTTAAATATACAGAGAAATATGCTATCTTTATACTTACATCATAAAAATTGCAGTTCTCGTCTAACTGATCCATAGATTCAATGCAAATGCAAACAAAATTCAGAATAGCTGACTCTAAAATGTATCTGGAAGAGAAAAAGATCAAGAATTTCCCTTCTGAAAAAGAAGGAAAAGTAGTACATATCTGCCCTTCCAGCAGTTAGGATGCTAAAGAATTCAGAGAGTAGAACTGAAAAATGAAAGACAAAGTGACCATTGGAATAGAGTAGAGAACCGAAAACAGACCCATACATGTATGGAATTTGGTACGTATCAAATTGGTAGAAACGGAGAGACTACACAGTAAATGAAGTTGGAAAGAAATAAGGTTGAACATGTGGAAGAAAGATAATTGTATTTCTAACTCACTCTATATACAAATATCAACTGTAAATGAGTCAATAACAAGACTTTAAGTCATTAGAAAATATAGGTGAATACCTTATACACCTTAGAGTAGAAAGTTTTTCAAAATGAGATGCAAAAAGTACAACTTAGGAAAGATAAATTTGACCACATTAAAATTAATAACTTTTATGAAAATCCCTTAATAAATGAATTTTAAACCTCAAAGTTTCTCAGTCTAAGACAGAAAAATTGTGAAGTAGGTTTATCTTATTTCAGTTTCACAAAAGTTCATAAAATATTTAGTAAGTATACACAGAAATTAATGAACAGAGAACTCAGAGAGAAAGATTAATAAAAACAAATGAGATTTTTTGAATTGTTTAATAAGATCAGCACATCTCTGGCAAGACAGATCAAGAAAAAATGCAAACACAGATCGAAAGCGAAGTTACATTACAGAACTGGGTTAGGTATAACAAGGGCAAACCGTGGTAGTGAGATCACTGTTCTTATCCACTGGGGTGGAGGGGAACACAGAAAGGTAAACTAAGTTACAGTGTATTAAGGGCCCCCCTCTCCTGTTGTACTCATCTACCCAGCAAAGTTTCTCTAGGAATAAAAAGAATATATTGCAAGTATATGCTTTTATTGGTTCATTCATTCAAAAACTGTATTTGGCTCTCTATCCCAGCCTCCATCTCAAAGCCTGCTACAAAGGTGAAAGGGATTCCAGAGGACAAAAAGTTGAGGACTGGCCCTGGCTGGTTTGGCTCAACGGTTGGAGCATCGGCCTGCGGACCGGAGAGTCCTGGGTTCAGTTCCCGCTAGGGGCACGTACCAAAAAAAAAAAAAAAAAAAAAAAAGTTGAGGACTGGGAAGGAGGGAAGTAACTCATCCCTAGGTCAAGGGAGAAGCAGCCATCTGAGTGGCAGCAAAGGCAAGGATATCACCAGAGCCTTCCACCTGGTGTGACAACGATGGCAGGGACGTGAAGCATGATGGAATTAACAGGCCTTCCTGGCATCTGCCCTCACTCATTTGCCTGCTTTCTCACCTCAGCAGTGGCACTGGAAAACCTGCAAGGAAACCTGAGTGACTACTGGGATGCTCTATTCAAACCCTCCGTTCTGGGTCCGTGCAGCTGGCTCACAGCTGCCTTCTTCACTGGGCACTGCTCTGACTTCAGGGAACTGCCTCACCCATGGTCTGGGGCAGCCAGGCTAAGGGACAGCTGATGTGGGAGCACAAAGGCTACTCCCTTGCCGGCCTGGGACAGGTAGGAAGAACCATCCTAAATCCAGACCTCCCTGTTGGAAAAGCTGAGGCCTCAGTTGCAACTACATTGTGGGTCCCTTGATCCTCACTTCCTCACAGGTGTATTTTTACAAGAGTACTCCCCAGTACACAAGCATGCACCTCTCAGTTTCCAGAGAGCTTAATCTAAAAGTTTAAAAGACCTTTTTAGCATTCTTCCACAGAGCTCAAAGTGTTCTCCACGTTTTTGGAGGCCAGAACCCTTTTGACAGTACAATGAAAGCTAAAAACAACCTCTCAGAAAAACACACTTAATGTAAACTTTTACATACTATTTTAGAGGCTATTTTTCTTCCTCTCTTAAGACGCAGTTCAAACTTTACTACCCATAGGAGGCCTCAAAAGCTCTTTGTACATAATCAATAAGATAAGCCACCATTTATTGAGCACTTACTCTCCACAGGACGCGTGCTAAAGTGCTTTAACTTCATGATGCCTTTGATCATGACATAACTGCAGGGTAGTTACTAATATCTTTCTTTTAGATATTTAAGGACTTGCCCAAAGTAACACAGCTAATAATGAGCAGATACTGGGTTAAAATTCCTTGCGCTTTGAATGGCAAGGAGAGAAGGGAAGGCTGAAGATAGTACCTCGTGTCCCGGCCCACGCCCTCCTGGCGCCCAGTCCTGCTCAGTCTGGGCACATACCAGGTTGCCCCTTCGTGCGGGGTTAGGGCGGTGCGAGGCAAACCATAGATGTGTCTCTCTCTCTCCCTTCCTCTTTCTGTAGAATCAATGAAAAACATATCCTGGGATGCAGATTTAAAAAAATAAAATAAAATAAAAAGTCACTCCTCAAAAGTCACCTAGTAAGTAGTGTCAGAATTAAGATCGAAACCCAGGTCTAACCCCAAAGCTGGCGCTCTTTAGGTTAATGTGTAGCAGCATCCATAGGAGCGAAAACCATGAATTTTGTCCCCCTTTTGCGCTTCGCAGCTCCGTTGTCATCTGCCTTTGTTTCTATAGCAATTCCCGAAAGATTTTTGGCAGCGCTGCTAGGGAGAGCGGAGGCGCGTTCCAGAACGGAGGCACGTCGGCTGCCGTACAACGTGGCGGCGCTGTGCACCTCCGCCCACGGGAGAAGGCTGTGTAATGTCCGTACAACATGGCGGCACTCTCTCCACCACGCCGCTGGCTCTGACGTAACCTCCTGTCCTGCGCAGTATATTTGACCTTTGAACGCTCAAGCGCTTTCTTTTTCCTCTTCCGGGGACGGGGACTTCGGGTATGGCTGCTTTTTCGTTCTCCCTATAGTTAGTCCGTTTACAATCAGCCGCCATCCGGGGAGTTGCGGGAGCCGAGATCTGTCATTCACAGTCCTCTGACCTGGTGTGGGGGTAAGGGCTCTGGAGGAAGGCTGGTGGAGAGCAGGGCCCCGGCTTTTAGCTTCAGGTACCCCTCGATCCGGACCTCTCCTGCGGAGCCGGGAGCTCACCACCCGGCACTTGCCGCCTTTGAAGCCGGGCGTGTGGGGACAGACGAGTTGCGGAGCGGCTAGTGGACGCGGGGGAACAGCGGGACACCTTCGTGTCTCACGCGCACATTTTACCGCCGCTCCTGCGGATGTTCTCGGGCTTTGGGAGGGCGGACGACCCGCACGTCGTCGTTTCAAATGTCGTCTTTCCCAAGGCCGATGGCGAGGAAGATAAAAAAAAAAGTGTTCCTAGGGCGTTTTCTGTTGTGGCTTTGGAGGTGCAAACAGCAGCGGCTGATTGGGTGGGTCACGAGCATTGGCCCCGCGTCCAGTCTGGTGGTGACGCCCTGGTGCCGGGAAGGAGCTTGTCGGCGCAGATGCGGCCGTTTTCAGATAACGTCGTGGCTGGGATGAAATGGTTACAAAGTTTGGGATAAACGAGTGAGATTGATTGAAATCTTGCTTCTGTTTTCATGTTACTTTGTATAGTTCACTGAAAAACTAAGTCATTTTACTTGTATCTGCATAACCGGTTTCCTCAGTCATACCAGATCCGCGGTAGAGCGCACTTGCCTTGACCCGGGTGCTGCTGTCAGGCCGAACCCTGAGCCGCTACTGTGTTCCAGGCTGCTAGTAGTTTTTTTAAATGGACCCCTTTCATAATGGACCCTAATTAAGGAGGTTATGTATTTGAGTAGATATGGAAAATGTATAAATTTTGTGACGCTGTTTTGTTCTAAGGTGTGAATTATTTCTGCAATGTAGTTATGTTCCATTCTTCCTAATTTAGGCACTCACGATGGTGCAGCGTTTGACGTACCGTCGGAGGCTGTCCTACAACACAGCCTCTAACAAAACTAGGCTGTAAGTATTCCTGAAATTTAAAACACATGTTGTCATTTACTCTGCAAAATGCTGAGCTATGGTCTATTCTCTCACTTTCTAGATCCCGAACCCCTGGTAATAGAATTGTTTACCTTTATACCAAGAAGGTTGGGAAAGCACCAAAGTCTGCATGTGGCGTGTGCCCAGGCCGACTTCGTGGAGTAAGTGAGCCTTTTGCTATGAGTAAGTTAACGGGTTAAAGTTTTGAGCATTACTTTCCTGGTATGGGAATGGTGAAGGAGAGAGAACCACTAGGAGAGGTGAGAATCACTAAACATCCATTATCCATACCTGTCAAGAATATATACTTTCTGTTAAAGCCAATGTGACAAGTACACTGAAATGCCTTTCACATAAATCAATACACCACTTTGTTTAGTAACCTATTTTAATGTTTGCACTTAACCACCTATAAAAGAAATCTAGCACAGTTTCTGTTGTAAAAGCATCACAAAATAACCTCAACATTTTCTTTATGTAGGTTCGTGCCGTGAGACCTAAAGTTCTAATGAGGTTGTCTAAAACGAAAAAACATGTCAGCAGGGCCTATGGTGGATCCATGTGCGCCAAATGCGTCCGTGACAGGTAAATAGAACTTTTCAGGCAAGCGGGCTTTCTTAAACAAGTGTGTGCACCTGTTTACTACACTGCATGCTAATCATTGCTAGAATACTGGTGGGAAAGTAATTTACTTAAACAAAAGTAGCATGCTTTAGGATCCTTCCGAAATTAGGGATAATTGATGTACAAACTAATCAATGATAATAGTTCCAAATAATTCATTAGAATTTGGGGCCGTCTTTATGCTAGATACAGAAATTAAAATGACCTCAGTTTTGTAGGGGAGGCAGGTAAGAAACAATTAGTTGTTTGGGCTTTAAGATAGATGGAGAATGGGAAAGGTTGAAAGCAGGAACGGAATAGATGTATGCAGTTACGATGCGCTGGAGCAGAGAATAGTCGGGAGGTGGTGGGCAAGGAAAGTGGAAAGGTTGCCCGGAAGGACATTTTTTTTTTTTTTTTTTTTTTAATCCTTACCCAAGGACATTTTTCCATTTTGTTCAGATGGAGTGGGAGTGAGAGAGAGGAAGAGAGAGAGAAACATTGACGTGAAAGGGACACATCGAGTGGCTGCCACCTGCACAACCCAACCAGGGCCGGGGACAAACTGCAACCGATGTACATGCCCTTAGCGGGAACCGATCCCGGGTCTCTCCGGACCACAGGCCGACGCTCTAACTGCTGAGCTAAACCGGCCAGGGCTGGAAGGGCAATTTTTAACTTGATACTTAAAAATGTGGAAATTCGTGGGCTTTTGAGGAGGGTGGGGAAACCTTTTGTGTGCCGGAAAGTAAAACAGCAGCAGGGTGGATAGTTAAATCATTCTTTCAACAACAGGCAAGCACTTGGAACAGTTCCTGTACTTTGTGGAGGCTAATGAAATGATACTCTCATTAAGACCTGCCGGCTGGATGGGAGAGGGTTTCGGGTAGAGGGCTAGGTCTTTTGGATATGTGAACGTGGAAATACTAGAGTTTATGATGGAATTAACATTTGTGCAGTGTTTTAATAATAAATACTGTTGCAAGTTTGTCAGGGAGGTGTTTCTGTTACCATTATTTTTGTGAAGAAACCAAGGCTTGTTGCTTGAATTCACATGCTTGTAAGGGGCAGCAATGGCATTTATTCCCGGCTTTATTGAGACACTTGCTCTTAACCCTACTGGCTGTATTAAATCGTCTCTAAAACCTAGGTGGGAAGATTGGACAGGTGATGAGCCTTCATGAGTGAAGAAGTTGGTTCAGAAAAATAGTTTGCTTCCAGTTTATTCAGATAGTTCAGTAAATTGGTCTATTCTAGTTTCTGAGCCAAATCTGACACCAAACCTTGCAGGTTCATTTTGCCTTTTAGGAGTTAATTTGTAAGGGGACATTAAGGCATATAGGGATACAAACTTAACTGAAGTGTAGAGGGAAAATTCCTCTCAAGTGGCTGGGTAACTGGGAGTAGTATTTAAGGTGGAATCTGAATGATGAGTAAGTTTTGGACAAGCGGTTGAAGGCATTGCAGGCAAGGAACACGTACGTACAGTTTTGATCTGGCACACTGAGGGTGTGAAATGAATGAGAAATGAAGTTGGAAAGGCAGAGTGGAGATGAGGGGGCTTATGCATTTTAAGTGAGAGGAGCTTGGCTTTTTACCAGACTTTGCCAGATGTACTCACATAGGGACATTTAAAAATACAGTTCTCAGGCCATGGCCAGTGTGGCTCAGTTGGTTGAGCGACATCCTGTGTACTGAAAGGTTGTGGGTTTGATTCCCCATTGTGGTACCTATAGAAGGCAACCAATTGATGTTCTCTCTCACATCGATGTTTCTCTCTCTTTCCCTCCCTCCCTCTCTCTAAAATCAGTGGGCAGCGTCGGCCTTGCACCCAAGGGTTGCAGGTTCTATCCCCGGCCCTGGTCAGGGCGCTTGTGGGAGGCAAGTAATAGGTGTCTCTCTCCCACGTTGATGTTTCTCTTTCCTTCCCTTCCTTCTACTCTAAAAAAAATATCAATGGAAAAAATACTCTTGGGTGAGCTTGACCAAAAAAATCAAATCAAATCAATGGGCATGTCCTTGGGTAAGAATTTTTAAAAAACATAAAACACAAAGCAGTTCTCAGGCCCCAGCTCCTGGAGATCTGGGTGTGACTCTAGTGCAGCCTTTAGCTTAGCGTCAGTTGTGACACTGAGGGGGTGCCTCTGGTCATTGCTTTGTGTAAGTTTAGGGAGTTTCCAAAGGTCCTGAGTAAGTGGCATCAATTGTATTTCTGTAATATGATTATATCAGGGAGATTTGAAGGAGTCAGGTCTCAAGGTTTTGAGTTTAGACTATTAGATAACCAGGGTACCGGTAGGGAACGTTGGTGGGAAAAGTTTTTGTGGGAATTAAATGAGTGCTTTCTATCTGGAGGTAACTTAATACTGCCTACTGTTTGCCAGATCCTGTCTGCTAATAATAGTGATGGGTAAAAATTTGCTTTCTCTCTAAATGGAGGTTCAAAGTACAGAAATTGTCTGTCCTTCCAAATTTAATTTTTCTGAAAAGCCTGTGGAACTGGTATGAAATTATTCCTTCCCTTACACAGAGAAGGTAGCTTACCCAAGATCACACAGCTAGTAAATGATAGAGTTGGCCTCGGTCAGGCCCTAAAATCTTTGCTCTTGATAAAGTATCTCCTGCTAAATATCTTTTACTGCTTCATTTTGGTTGCTAGCACATACTTCCTTTCTGTGTTTTTACTGGAAATTCTCAATAATGTGGTTAAAACATTCTAAGACGTTTTGCAAATCAAATAATATTATTAGTACTTGATCCTAATGAAACGCGGTTAAATGAAGGCTACTACTATAGTGGCAGAGAGCCGTCTCCAGGGGGGCTAATATTATAGTTTATCCTGACTCCAGAGAGGAGGGCAGGTATGCTGGCATAGAACTGAAGAATTACCCTGCTTTAAATGCCAGTGTGGGAAGGTTTAGGCTAAAAGAGTCTGTCCATATAATTTCAGTTTTTAGTTTATACTTTTATTTACTTCCCTGGGTGTTTTCCCTGATAGCTTTGCTTAATTCTTTCCTGGTACTTTCTTGCCTTTGTTAAATCAATGTTATTTGGTTTTAACTATTCACTTAATGTTTTTCTTTCTAGGATCAAGCGTGCTTTCCTTATCGAGGAGCAGAAAATCGTGGTGAAAGTATTGAAGGCACAAGCCCAGAGTCAGAAAGCCAAATAAAATGAAGCTTTTTTGAGTAATAAAAGCAATTAAAAGGCTCATTCTGTTATTTATCTTGTAATTTGTTAGTACCCAGGTTTGGTTTCTATGTGTTATCTGGGGACTCTGTGATTTTTACTTTTTCTAAGTGACAGTGACATGGGGGAGGTCAGTGATCACTAGAATATTTTTGTGGTAACTACAAGACAAGGCAGTTTGAAAAGTATCTGAATGTTTCTTTGAATACCACTTGGATCCTTTTCATAGTGGCTCTTTCACCAAGATTAATAGGACAGAAATCTCAGTGTTCAACTTATTTGGAATGGAAGCGTTTTTACACCATTTAAACCCTCTTATTTCCTTAGTTTACTTTCAAAATGGTCTATTTTGGGAAGCTTGAAACTATATCAGCAAATAATGAACTCCTATGTACAAAACCTCATGAGTCTAGTGAAAATCAAATTCAGGTTTATGTTGTATTTATAATCCAGGTCAGAACATTAAAAATAATAGACCTCCGTATGCAGCATAGGGTGTGCAGCCCTGGCCAGTTTCGCTCAGCAGTTAAAGCATCGGCCCTGAGACCAAAGGGTCTCAGGTTCAGTTCCCAGTCAAGGGCACATACATGGGTTGCATGTTTGATCCTCTGCCCTGGTCTGAGTCATGCAGGAGGCAACCAATTAATGTGTCTCTCATGTCTGTTTTTCCCTCGTTCCCACTATGTCTAAAAAGTCAGTGGATTTATTCTGGAAATATCCTCAGGTGAGGATTAACAACCAAAAAAAGGTTTCCAGTTGTTAGTATGGAAAAGAATACAATAATTATGAAAATGAACTACTCACAACTGTAAACCTACTTTTGCCCCACCCATTATTTTCTCTGAACTATGTAATACTGTTTTTGATCACTTTTTATTTGTTTTCCTTAATCCTCACCTGAGAATATTTTTCCATTGATTTTTAGATAGAGTGGAAAAGAGAGAGAAACATTTGTTGCCTCCCACACAGGTACATGCCCTTGAGTGGATACAACCCGTGACCCTTCAGCCCTTGGGCCGATCCTAACTGCTGAGCCAATGGCCAGGGTGTTTCTGACCACTCTTAATGCAAAAGTATGTAAGGACTTCAATAGTTCATTACAGAGCTGAGACTACCAACCATCCATCCAAATATTTGCGTACATAAACTCTTGAATTGTCCTCCAAGACTTTTTCAGGTCATGCCAAGCTTATTTCCTATCTTAAGAGAGGGTCTCCCAAGCTACTTGCCCCAGGAAGTCTAGAAACAGTAAAGAGAGTTCTGTAGATTTTGACCCTTTTCCTCCAGACCAGTGGTGCTCAACCTGGGTGTCGAATGACCCTTTCACAGGGGTTACCTAAGACCATCGGAAAACATATTTCCGATGACGATTCATTACAGTAGCAAAATTACAGTTATGAAGTAGCAATGATTTAAAATAGTTTTATGGCTGGGGGTCACCACAACATGAACTGTTATTAGGAAGGGTGAGAACCACCGCTCCAGACCTTGCTGTTACTGGCCTGATGTCTTAGTGCAGAGGAGTGTTTCCTCTTCCTAATAAGGCACTGCCCTTTTCTAAGGAGGGAACTTTTCTTGTGCTTTTAAATATGTTTTTATTGTTTTTTTTAGAGGAAGGGAGAAAGAAACATCCATAGAGAGAAACTGATAGGCTGCCTCCTGCACACGCCCCAGTGGGGATCAAGCCCGCAACCCGGACGTGTGCCCCTGACTGGGAATCGAATCAAAACCTCTCAGTCCATGGGGCCACGACGCTCAGTCCAATGAGCCACTCCAGCCAGGCCTTTTTGGCCTGTTGAACACTTCACTGTGCCACACTGCCAGCTTATTTGATTAACACTTGGCAGAAGAGAGTAAGTTCAGTAGGTTGGCATTTGAACTCCAGCTGTTAAGAATTTCTTAATAATACTTGATAACATCATAGCACTACCTAACACCCATTTGCCATGTACCTGACACTTCCAAGCAATTAACATCATTCAGTCTTCCCAACAACCCCGTGACACCTTTTTTATCCACATATTATAAATGAGGGCACTGAGGCGCACAGGTTGTGTAATATGACCCATTAGAATTTTTTGTACATGTATTTAGGGAGTCTAAATACACATTCAAAAAGATTGCATACCCCCAATAAATATTTTAGCACACAAAATGATAGCTGAGGTTCCTATTAACATTGTCTCAGATAATTGAGATCCAACATGTTTTCTTCAAATGCCTTCCAATCAGAACAATAAAATTGCTTTGTGAACTTAGTTTTTGAAAGGCTTGAGATGTAATTTTTAAATAATGGCTGTGGAGGAAAAGCCTCCATTTGCCTGTGAGGGCTCTTCCCGTCCTACACAAAGTTCCATAGAACAACTTGCCTGAACCCAGCTTCTAATGAGAACTATCAAGTTTCAACAAAATGAATGGGTTAATAACAGGAATTTGAGGAAACTAAAGCATTAAAGTCACATACTTTTCAAAGAATTCTTCATATGTAAATGGTTTAACTTCTTCCAAATTTGAATGTTTTCACTTTTTTTATATCTTTGTAGATAATTTGGAAAGTATAGAGAAAATAGAATGAAAAAAATCCCCTTCAATTTCAATATGCAGATAATCATTTTTAACAGTTTAATGTCTTCCCATTGTTTTCTAGACATAAGACATTTAAAATAAAAATTGGAAGCATACTTCATGTATAAACTTTGAACCCTCCCACCCTTAATCACCCCCATAAACATAATTCTTTTTAAAATTTAGCGACTGAATAAATCTGCCATCAAATCTGTGCCTTAATTTATATATTCCCCTTCTTTTGACTATTTGGGCTATTTCTAAGTTTTCTCTATTTTAACACTTGTGAGCATTCTTATACCTCTAATTATTTCATTTATGATGATTTTTAAAAAATTCTGCTCTGCCCAGCCAGTGTGGCTCAGTGGTTGAGCATCCACCCATGCACCAAGAGGTCATTGGTTCTATTCCCAGTCAGGGCACATGCCCAGGTTGTTGGCCTGATCCCCAGGGTGGGGCATGTAGGAGGCGGCCAAGCAATGTTCTTTCTCATTGATGTTTCTCTCTCTCTCCCTCTCCCTTCCTTTCTCTCTAAAAATCAATAAATTCTGCCCTGGCCAGTTTGGCTCAGCAGTAGAGCGTCGGACCACGGACCAATGAGTCACGGGTTCGATTCCAGCCAAGGGCACATACCTCAGTTGTGGTTAGTCCCCGGCCCTGGCTGGGGTCGTGCGGGAGGCAACCAGTCGATGTGTCCCTCTCGCATCGATGTTTCTCCCTTTCTTTCCCTTTTCCTCCCTCTCTTTCCCTCCCACTCTATCTGACCATAGATAGAAAAATATCCTAAGTTGAGGATTGAAAAAAAATGCATAAGCTAGTATTAAAATACAGTACTTTAAAAGTCGAGTTTAATTATTGGGGTTACAATGATGTTTTCGAAATGTTTCCTTAGCCTGCTCAGGCTGCTGTAACGAACTGCTGTAGACTAGGTGGCTTCAGCAACAAACGTTTATTTCTCACAGTTCTGCAGACTGAGAAGTCCAAGAGCAAGGTACCACGCAGGTTCAGTTCTTGGTGAAGCCCCCCTCCTGGTTGGCAGAGAGCCGTCTTCCTGTACCCTCAAACGGCGGAGAGAGGAGAGAGAAGCAAGTGCCCTTTCCTGTTCTTACAAGGGCACTAAAGCCAGGATGAGGGTTCTGACTTCATCACCTCCTAATACATTGGGGATTAGGGTACCAGTATATGAGTTTTGGAGGAATAAACATTTATAACACTAGCACATTTCATATCCATAACACTAGGGATGTGAAATATGCCTGAGGAGTGGCCATTTCTTCACCCGTGTTAGTTCAGCCACAAAGTTCATGACCATAGGCCTCCCTCTGCTATTTCCCTCCAGCTCCCTGCCCAGGTCCGGTTCTCTCCTCCGGCCCCAACGCTCAGGCTGGTGCCGACTCTGCCCAAGTGGCCAAGTGGATTCTGCACTGTTCTAGGTTTTTGTTTTTATAAAAAACAAAGTTTTTATTGAATCCAGTTCTGTGTGTGACTTGAAGTATTTTTGACAAGTTCCTAAAAAGACATGTGAATGTAGTCAGTGGTTTCTTTTTAAAGTCTAATATTTCTCCTTCCATTGAATTGCTTATAATTCTATTAGAAGGATGCAGGGTGGGGGGTAGGGGGAATTTTTCACTCTTAAAAGCAGAAAACATCCATATATTTAAGTAAATAAATCTAATTTATTTTCAGCAGTGCAATAACATATACGTTTTACCCTAATGTTTTGGAGCTTGGGCTACCAGAATTTTGATAGGCAGGGCTATATCCAGCCCTAACTGTAAACTATGTTATCATGCCAACTGGAATCATATACAGGCATACCTTGGAGACATTGTGGGTTTGGTTCCTGACCACTACAATAAAGTGAGTCACATGAACTTTTTGATTTTCCAGTGGATATAAACTTATGTTTACACTAGACTATTAAGTGTACCATAGTGTTATATCTTTAAAAAAACCCATACCTTAAAAAATGCTTCATTGCTAATAATTGCTAACCATCATCTGAGCTTTCAGTAAGTCCTAATCTTTTTGCTGGTGTAGACTTCTACCTTCAATTTTTTTAAAAAATACCAGAAACACAGCATTTGTGGAGAGCAATAAAGCGAGGTGTAGTAGAATGATGTATCCTTCTACCTGTCTTTTTTTTTTTGAGAGAGAGAGAGGAAGGGAGAGAGAGAAACATTCATATGAGAGAGAAACATCAATCAGCTGCCTCCTGCACACCCCCTACTTGGGATTGAGCCTGCAGCCCGGTCATGTGCCCTGACCGGGAATCGAACTAGGACCTCTCTGCCCATGGGACGATGTTTAATCCACTGAGCCACACCAGCGGGGCTCTACCAGTCTTTGGAGTAAGATTGTGAAGCAGCCCAGGCCAGTGTGGATCAATGGCTAGAACATCAGCCTGAGCACCGAAGGTTCTCGGGTTTGATACCTGGTCAAGGGTATGCACCTGGGTT